TTATCACAGCCTGTCCTCACCTGGTTTCAATTGTACCTGTCCCGTCACGGTTATCAACAACTACTCTTCCTGCCCCCTGCAGTCAATAGGAAATCCATACTTCCACTTTTAATTGGACATGTATAACAATGACAATCAAATATCCACAACACTAGTGTGCCTTATTTCCCCATTATACTGGGTGCAATGACCCCACTTTACGTCAACCTGCCCCAGCCTCCATCATCAATATCCTTTCATCTAACACTTAACCGTGCATTGTTTGCTAGCTTTGAGTGAGGAGAGCCTTTGGCTGTCTCAGCCTTGTTCCCCAAAACCCATCAATTCTGCACCATCCTACTTTTCTATACTTTTAATTTTTGAGCATGTCTTTCCTATTTCAACATTTATCCTCCTTCCCTTGTAAAAAATGTTTTTAGCAATAATGTTCATTCATTGTCCACTAAATTGACCTAGGAAGAAACCAGGACTAGAATAATGTTTTGTTTCAAACTGAAGTCAAGATTGAGAAAGACAAAGTTTATTTTGTACAACTATTTTTCTCAGACAAAATTTCCATAACACTTTTGAAAATATCAACATACAAAAATATACATTTTCTAGCAAACTAGAAAATATAGGTGCAAAACTAGCATGAAGCTTGAAACAAATTTTATAACACCACTCTTTAAAAACAAACACCTCTAGGTAGTTTAACAGTGGAGTAAAAAATCTAAATCGATTATAGCTTGTTTCAAACAACAGACAAACCTTTAAGTAGTGCCATTGCATTTCAAACTACTTCAGCACTACTGCAAAAACTGCTTCGTCTTAAAAAAAAATCTGTTCACTTTGTTAAGCTAAATAGCCAGAGCTATCCCAGAAACAGCTTATGCGAGGTAGGTCACAAATGAAAACGGTGCAATAAATTCTCCCATTGTCTGATGCAGCCCTTCATCCCTCCCAAGTTAGTAGGTAAATAGTTAGAAGAGCCATAATCCTTTAATTACATTCCCTGAAAAGGTATTATGGACAGGCATTAAATTTTTAAAAAAGTAATAAAATTTAAGCTTCAAATGGAGAATAGGATCAATAGTTTGTTGTTCTTTTTTGAAACTGAACTGGTGTATTTCAGGAAGTGCTCACATTGTCACTTAATTTTTCATGGTTCTTGTCCTCGACTTACTTGTGTTTACCATCTCAAAACTACATACAAATAATCTGAATTTTAATAAACTTTTGGTTGAGAGCTTCCCATTTTAAATTATCCATGGGCCTTTTTCTTTAAAGCCAGAAAATAAACATTTCACAAGGTCTCCTGTCCCCAACTATCCTATCGCACACAATCTGAAACAAATGTCCACATACTACAATATGGGAGAAAAGTTCCAATCTGCCTCAAGTTCCTCTACTTGCCATGAACTTGGAGAAAAACTACTATCTTGTCAAACGTGGGCTAGACCTTACCAGTGATCAATCACTTATTTTCCCATTATGTTTACCAAATTAATACAATCGTTGCTTCTGAAATATAGAATCAATTTATTTGAAACCCATTTACAAAATTTATTTTAAAAAGGACAAAGAATACCAGCTTGAAGAATTAAAGATTTTCCACCTCTGGCAGCATTAGGCACTCATTTACAGATATAACAAATCATTGTCCAGATGCATAGTTCAAAACTCCCTCTAAATAGTCTAACTTAAAAAAAAGTGCACCACTCACTTACCAGTGTGTTTTTGCCACATTTCACGCCACTTAATTTAATGTTCACTGAAAATAGAAATTTGTAAAGAAACTCAACTTTGGAGCCAGTCTAGCAATAACTTGGTAAAGTAAGCCCAAAAATGAAAAGAGGCAATAATTAATTTCTTGCACTAGCTAGTCCTTAAGATGTGTGAAGTAGGAATTCAATTTTTAAAAACTCCAATTGTAAAAAATAAAGCCTTAATCTTAAAATAGTTACATTTCTTTAAAACTCCTGTACATCTGCATTTAATACATCACAATTTGACAAAAGGAGAAAAAGGCAGTTACCACAAATGTGATCACTGTTATTTGAAAACACATCAAGTTAATCACTATTCTGTAACTATACACTGCACATAATGGATCAAAACCAGAATGGGTCTGAAACCTACAAAATTGCAGAGTAATGTTTACTGTTTTGAAGTGAATAAGAACTTTAGTGGTATAGTCAAGCAAAAACAGATTTTAGTTTAAGTGTGAAACAGTAGATGTAATTTATCCTTTACTCCTTTATGTTTCAAGCAATCTTCACATTCACAATAATGCCCAGAACTAGTGTTTTTCATCTCACTAACAATTATCCAATTTACTATAGTTTGCATATTTCAGCACTAACACCAATGTCAGTTCAAACAAGGCTCTAGTTCTACACAAACTGGTATACTTTTGGTTACTGGTTCTCTCTTCGTACCACCCCACTCCCACCCATTGTAACTGCATTGGATCCCCGTTACCAAATGCTCTGAATCTGTATGATGTTACTAATCTTCACTTTTCTAATCTCCAGACACTGCAGAATTCATCTGCAAGTGAAATGTATGGCAATTTAACTAATTTCAATTAATCAAATGTTTTATTGTGTTGTTTTGAATCTGGGGAACAGTTCCAAGTGACCACACAGCTAAATTTTGCCTTCATTCACAAGAGACATGTGGAACCTGTTCTCCCCTGCCTACAGGTGTAAAAATCTGGGGTAGGAAGACAAATTCAGCACAATGAACACCAATACCTTGTCTCCTGGAATCAAAACAGATCACAATAACAGAATGCATATGAACTGACTTTATAAAAACAAATTCTAGTGTAATGAGTCAAGGGTGAAGCACAGGCAGGGTTAACAGTTGCATAATTAGTAGAGACCAAACTTAAGGGACTATTACATAAGCACCTAGTAATCTTAAAAAAAAGATTGAAAAGAATGGTTCAGCACCTGACAATTTACTTATCAAAATTCCATCATACCCCATTGGCTTGTTGGAAAATCCATAGTTCTGGCAGAATTTAGTTTACCAGAAATATCTACCAGATTCCAAAAACAACCAGTGATAACAATTGATAATGGTGAAATTGAAACATCTTGGAGGCTCTCATTGGTTTGGTTCACTTCAAACTTTCAAAAGATACCAAGATAGAAGCAGCTTCAGTTTTATAGCTCATTAAGTGCAGGGGAATTAGGAAGCACTGTGCAATCAAAAAGAAAAAAAGCAACATTTGCTAAAGAGATGGCAAAGGAAGATACTTGGACAGAATTAAAAGCTGTGATTGCTGCAGGGTGGAAAGTACAAAAACCATTGATTTCTATTGGTTAACAGTCCCTGAAGACTAAAATCCAACTTTAAAACTGTGCTGTGCTGTCAGACATAGTTTGAAGTGTACGGAGGACCAGGGTTTACATTGCCATGAAGCCTCCATTTCTCAAGACATCATCACTTTCCTCCATTGCACTAAACTTCATATTCAAATAATGGTTATGCCAATAACCATTAGAGGATTTGTTTCAAAACAAAAAGCTTTACACAAGGACTATCTCCATAATAGAAATTTACACATTTTGCCAATTCGGTATGTATTTGCCAAATATCCCAAGATATAAAACAAGCTTAGTAGTTATTCAGGAATTTGATAAGTAAATGAGTGGAGTATTAGGACGTTAGATTTTCAGAAGCTCCGATTATTCAAAATGGTGTTATGTAAAAACATTTGAGGGAGTGTGTTAATTACGTTCTGTCACCACAGTTGACTTGAATCATGTTTATCTGTAGTATGTACTAGAGGTATTCATCTAATTAGGTTGCTACTTGACAAACTTCAAACAATGTGAGGCATGCATACATAAATAGAAAGTGTGTACATCAAAAGTTGAAGTTTTTCCCATGATGTAAAATATCAATATTGTGATATTAACAAATCACAACATTCTGTAAGCTAATGAGTAATGTTTTGTAATTCAAATTGGATTTTCAACAGTTTCCACACTCCAAGTTTAAGTAATGATAAATTGCAATATGCAAACATTCACATTCAAGGCACAAAAGCATACTGCACTTGAAATTGCAACTCTTGTGATAAATTGTAATTTAGGGCCAACAACAATCGGTGTGGAATAACTAGCCCTTCATGAAAATGTGGAAAAGCAAAGACTTAACTTTATATTAAAGACAGAAATCAAAACATTTCCAAATTTGGTCTTTCCAATCAAACCATTGGCTTAATTTGCAAACAGTGAAATATTGGCTACACAGTTTTACTGCACATGTATGTCAAAGTAAGGATTATGTACAACATCCAGAACTTATCACCAGTATTCCTCAATGACTTAGATTGGTTTGTGCATGTAACTTGTTTCAAAATAGATTTCTCTTCAATATTAAATAAAGTTTCAGTCATGTACATAGGTCATAATATCATGTTGAACAATTGAGACTGTACATTTCACAGATAAATTGACTGATTTTTGGGAGGAAATGAAAAATTAATAACGATTGATAACTAGCAACTGAATTAATGTGGTATAGTATCAACCATGTAAACTTTTCCATCCAAAGTGATACTTTGTAGTCATGCATGAAAAATAGTTTTGATATTTGTCAGATATTTGTCAGATATTTCTTTCATATGCAAAGTTACTGCTCAAATTATTAACCTCAAATGTAACTTAAGCCTAGCTTTATTCTGATCAAATTGCATTGTACACAATATTTTTTACTGATAACTTCAAATTTACATGCTAGGTGGTGAAATGCTTCATAGCAGAATAAATTAGGGATGTTTAGATAATAATTTTAAACGTCCCTAGATTTGTTCACTGCTCACCATTTTCCCCACAACTAGATTTAAACTGTTCCTGGGAAAGTATACTAGCAGCCACTGGTAGCACACATTCAGCACAAATCTGGGGCTTTGCCAGTTTGTAAAACCTGTTGATACTCCGTGCCTTACACTTGATTTGTTTTTCCAAAGTTATGGATAGACAAAAAACACTGGCAAGTGTAGTTACTGGTCAACTTGGTCTAAAATTAAAATCGTTCCTTCTGAGGTTTATTTACAGCCAGTTTCCCATACAAGTAAAAAGGAAAGATCAGTGCAATTTTCATGTAGTTACTGCATTAGGAAAATGCAGCACTGCAAGGATATGTATCTACATAGTATGGTTTGCAGAGAAGAAACATTTTGACCAGCCGACAGTAAAGCTCCCCCCAAAATCCAGAGGTGAGAGAAGTCACTTTTGAATCTGTCGCCTCTTGCCACAAATGACGGATATCTTTCACATGGTCATGAGAAGTCATCATTTGATTATAAATACAAGGATGGTAAGGGGCTTTTCCTTCACCAGCAAAATACATATGTTGTTGTGGTTCTACTCCCATTTTTTTGGCACATATACCCATAAAAACATCATCAATGTAAAGACTGCTGTTTAGGGTCATTAAGGCCTCATAAACTTTTGCTGCCACATCCTGGGACACAACATATGCAGCACCTGCAGTATAGTCAGGATAAGCAGGCCACTGGTACATTTCATAGGAAACATAGTATTTGCTTTTTTTGTTCCTTACAGGGGGTGCACCTTTGTGTACTCGACCAATCCAGAAATTACTTATCCCTTTATCCAGCTGTAAGAGGTATTTTACTAAATTTGGAGTGTGTACAAAAACATCATCGTCAGAAGACATGACAAATTTAGCATTTTTGCAGAAATTATTTGCCCACTTGAACTGGAAGATTAGTTTCAATGTAAGATTGTAAAAGTCATCATAAAAATCCTGCTGGATAAGGTCTGCATGTTGTAAATCTTCCACCAGTAATCTACTCTGTATAACATTGCGCTGGGAGGGATCTTTATATACACCCAAAACAAATATCACTTTTATAGTGGCTTTGAACTCCGAATATATATAGTGTTCATTGCCCCATGTCTCACGGATAGCATCCCGCCGAGGACGGTTTTCAGGAGATGTCTTCACAAACAAAAGAAGCAACACATCTTGATTTTGGCATTTGTTTGCATGGGTTATCAAGTTCTGGTAGCTATGAAGGCTAACTGCTATCTCCTTGTTCAAAGTCAGGCTATCATTCAAAAAACTGTATCTATTGATGAGATATCTGTATGAATAAGATTTCACATGACTAATGACATTTGCATCCAGTTGCTCCCAATAAAGGAGGACAAGAGAGAAGAAAAAACATGTAAAAATTAATTGCAGAAACTGACGTTTTCTTCCTCTTCTGTTCACAGTAATCATTCTGCAATTTTAGTTTTTGACAACCACGAGAAACTCAGGATTTTTACTTTCATTTCTTCCTGGGACCTGCGTGATGTTTTACCTGGCTGATCTATTTCATTACATCTATTGCTATACAATATTACGCAATAGATAGAACTAGATACAAATTGAAATACATAAATCAGGGAATCACCTCCTGTTGTTTCTGGATGCACTATAGTAGATACAGTAGTCCACTTTCTTCCAGCACAAACAAAATTGAGGCCATGTGGAAAAAAAGCATCAGAACATAGTCCGTGTTCGGAGTCTTGATTGTTTGTTTCACTTGTTGATCCTGAAATCGTTCAAAATCACAGAACCTGTCAAGTGAATGACAAATAATTTAAACAAATGGAGAAAACTTTCATTTTATTCTACAAAGTTAGCAGAATTTCTTTTGAAAATTTTCATTCACTACATTAGTTATTTGAAAAATCCCCTGCAAGAATATTTATTACATTCAACTAAAGCTATGCTCATTCACAAAAATAAATAATTCATGCCTATAACCTAAATTCTCAGTTTTACTTATCAATATAGGCAATTTCTCAACTTATTCCTTACTGAACTGTTTAAAAGTGATGATATACGTTTTCCCAGGGAGGCAAATATTGATGTCATTTGATTATATGTTGTAACCTAAAAACAGCTAAAATAGCCTAAATGCTGCCAGACTTGCTAAGGTTACCCACTTTGTGTTTCAGATCTCCAACATCAGCAGTTCTTCATCTTACTGTTTCAAACTGTCCACTACCATGTGCATGCATGCAGAGCAAGGGATGGTAAGGGGGAGATCAAAATCCAGATCTTCGTTTCCTTGCTACAAATTCTATATCCTCAGACTTCACCTTCAGGAAACTTAATTTCTTAGCTTCTGCTGTGCCAGCATTCCTGCACATTCAAACCTCCACTGCCATTCAAGACTCACTTTTTAAAATCAAGCTTTTAGCCATGAATGCAACTTTCACAAAAATGCAAAGAAATTGCAGGAAAAGGTCAGGTCTGGCAGCATCTGTAGATAGAAATCAGAGTTAACGTTTCAAGTCTGGTGACCCTTCTTCAGGAGGGAATTCTGCTAATTGCTGAGTTTCAGTAATTTGTTTTTGATTTCCAGCATCTGCAGATCTTTGTTTTTTGTTTACTGCAACTTTTATATTTGATGACACCTCTGCAGCATAGTAGTTCTTCAATTTGAGCTCCCTATGCAATATTATTTGTTGTTAGGATAGTTGCCAGCAAAAGCATTAACTAACTTGTTAAATGGGATATGAACAGAACAAAATTACACCACTGGGCTGGTATGTGGAATTTCTTTGGAACTAAAACAGACCAGGATTAAAATAATTCAATACTGCAGATACTGGAAGTTTGAAACAAACAGAATGCTGGAAATGTTCAGCCAGTCTAGAAGAATGTGGGGAATTAGAATAATCCCTTTAGCCTCCATTTACCTTCGTTCAAGTTGCTATGGTCCTGATTATATGATGCCATAAGCAAAATATCATTCATGTGTACTTTATAGGGTCATCACTATCAACTTCATGAAACTGTGAAGTGAGAATTTCAACTGTTTTAGATGGTGAGCTTTGTAATCTTGTTAGTTAAGGCACACAGTATACATACAGTGAAGGGTGCCTGGACAATATTTCAAACCCAATTATAAAATACTTGGATTAGGTATAGAGTAATTAAGGCAACAGGAAGTGGTTTGAATCAGCTGTAAGTGGTTATTTATATTTGGATACTGTTGAACAAGTGAGTAGCCCAAAAGTGCATTCTTTGCTTAAATGCAGATGATAAATCATGAAAGATAATTTTACATCTTAATTTGCTCAGTTCACTTAGTTTAAGAGCAATGTATCTGCATTGATACTATATTTTCTCTTAGCAACTCCAAGTAACTCAGGCTATCAAAAGTTGAAGCCACCTGTATCAGTAATTTCCCAACAAACTGCAACTTGAGGAGAGTTGTTGGAAAAGTGTTATTGTCATGGAACTGGTAAGACAGGGACCTAGGTAATGTTCTGGTGACCTTGGTTTGAATCTGACCATGACAAATAGTGGAATTTCATTTTTCAAAATCTTGAAATAGAAGTCAAATGTTGACAATAAAACCATTCTTGAATCTGATAAAATAAAAATCCATCTCATTGATAAATGTATTTTAGGGAATGAAACTGTCGTGTGACCTACATGCAAATCGGTTAGTACATTCAGCTGTTAATCAAAAGGTTGGTGGTTTGTGCCCACTCAGGGGAATTTGCGTTTGGTGGCTCAGTGGTTAGCACTGCTGCCTCACAGTGCCAGGGGCCTGGGTGCGATTCCACCCTCAAGCAGCTGTGTGGAGTTTGCACATTCTCCTCATGTCTGCACGGGTTTCCTCTGGGTGCTCCGACTGCCTCCCACAATCCAAAGGTATGCAGGTTAGGGTGAATTGGCTATGCTAAATTGCCCATATAATGTTCAAGGATGTGCAGATTATGTTGGGTTATAGAGGCAGAGGGGTCTGGGTGGGATGCTGAGGGTCGGTGTGGACGTGTTGGGCTGAAGGGCCTGTTTCCACACTGTAGGGATTCTAAGACTCTAAGATTACTCCATGTCCAGACCAAAGTAATGTGGTTTGCTTATAGCCGCCCTCCGGAATGGCCTAACAAGCCAAGTCAGTTGTATTAAAATTGCTACACAAAGTCAAGCCATTCGAAAAGGCAGCTCATCATCAATTTCTCATGGGAAATTAAGGACTAGCGATAAATATTAGCCAAGTCAGTGATGCCCACATCACAAAAAAAATTTTTTTAAAAAAGTGAGGAGATTTTTAAATATTTCCAAAGAAGATTTCCACATTATACAGTTAGGAAACAGGAAATTGTTTATTTTTGTTAAGCTGCTACAAGGATCATTTATCTTTCTGGAAGTATTAATTTCTCCTATTTCACCAAGCTGATTTTAAATAAAGGGGAAGAGTTATCTCTTGGCTGAAAGCATGTTTTAAAAAAGGCAATGGTCCTTTCAAAGAGTCAAGAACGAGCAACACACATTCACTTGTCAATCGTGTTACCAGTTTTTCCATGAATCTACTAAGAGGAAACAAGAATGGCTGAACATTATGACATTTATAGGCATATAAATGACCAATGGCAGAGTCAAAAGCAACATGCTCTCACAGACCAACAGCTGAAAAACAGTGCGTATGACTAAAAATCCAAACAGGTTCGTTTGGCACACTGAGGGGCGAAACTATAAGAATACTGCTAAATATCATAAAACAGGTTTCAAATTTAAAACTGCAAAGTAATTTGAACCTCATGTTCACAGATCCAAGAGAGTGTGAAATCCTGCTAGTTTACATTTATTGCAAGACAGTTTTAGCAAACTTATGTTCACAATTAAGTGCAGGAATGGATTTCATTTTTCTAATTTGTTTGAATTAATAGAACAAAATTAACAACTGCAGATTCCACATAAATAGCTTGATCATTTACATCTACAAATGACTAGGTGACTTCAGTTGAGTGTTACTAAAAAGAGCTTTTACAGAACATAAAACAAAAACAGTGCTGGAAAAACTCAGCAAGTCTGGCAGCATCTGTAAAGACAAAACCAGAGTTAAATGTTTCAAGTCCAACGTCATCTGTTTTGATGACAGGGTCATCGCACTGAAAGTTAACTTTGCTTCTCCCTCTAAAGATGCTGTCAGACCTGCTGAATATCTCCGGCACTTTGTCTTGGTTTCAGATTTCCAGCATCCACAGTTTTGTTTTAATTACAGAGTAACACGAGTTTGTGTTATGGAAACACAGATTGCAGTTCTCATTGTCTGGCAACCTCATGCTAACACCAGGAGACAAAATAGGAACAAACTTTAATGCAATGACAATTTTATTCCAAACAATTACATATAAACGAGCCAATATTCCAGGCTCCTCCACTGACACGTTTAGCACGGTCAACTCAGCAGCATATACTATGCAGACCCTGGGAGATTCCACGCATGTCAATTAGTGCACTGATGTATTTTATTTACACGTTGACACATACTGATCTGAGATCCATGCAGTGAAAAAACTGTTACAGGAAACATTGATCGCTGAGTACGTGTCCTAAAAGGGCAGGTGGCATAGTGATAACAATCTTGCGTTGGGAAATGAGAAATTGCCCTGATATTCATCAGGATTGTCTCAAGACCCCACATGAACTAAGGAACTTCCTACCGATTACCATTACCACTCTTGATCAGGTGATGAATCAATACGTCATTGTTGAATATCATACAAAACTCCGAGGGATCCAGGAATATGCTTTGGACTGAGGACTTCAGTTTGGTAGCAGTAGCAGCTACATTGACAGACCTCCACAAAACAAGTTTCTTTTTCTTAAAAAGATGCTTAATTGAAATTGCAACACATTTTACTCAAGTCCTTCCCAAACCTTTCTCCCCCTCTGTGACCCCATTTTTTGATTTGATTTAATGTTGTCACATGTACCCGGTACAGTGAAAGGTTTTCTTTAGCGTGCAGTACAGGCAGATCATACAATACAGTAACAAAACAGAGCAATGAATATAATATTATGGTTGCAAAGAAAGAGCAAGAAGAGTGAGATCAACATTAAAATTTGACAGGTTCATTCAGAAGTCTAATAAGTGGAGAGGAAACTGTTCTTGAACCTGTGTTACGTGTATAATTTGAAAGTGATCGCAATGCCTCAGGGAGAATACAGCAGGAAGATCTGTTACTGCTGTTATAACTTGGTCAGAAATCTAATCAATGTAAACTTAAACATCATGGTCAATAATAAAATCAAGGAAGTTTAACAGGCATTGAGACTATTCAATGTGCTTTACTTCATATATATCACAAAGCAACTTACAAAAAAGAAAGTAGTTTTAGATTACTGGAAGTAGCAATTAAAACCACTGTTCTAACAAAGCAGACACCTCCAGATTGTAAAATTCCACTCACTGTCCTAATCTATTCATTTCATAGTCTTACATCTTCATCTACATGAATATTTATCCAATATTCTCTTGAAAGATGCAACGGTCACAACAACATCCTGTACCAACTATTCCATGCTTCAAACACCTACATAAAAACTCCAGTGCATCTTCAAACAGAAGAACTGTTTCCTACTATCCAGAACATTTCTTCATCTTAATCTTTGTTCAATCTTCATAGACGTGAGACTATCAAGTCCCTCTCAATTATAGTTCCCATACTTCGAATCATCCCAGTGAATGTGTTGTCGAATCTCCCTGATTTAACATTACTTGTACGATAGATGTCAAACTACATACCATTTTAACTGTGGTCTAATATAG